AAACATGTTCACAAAGAAATCAGGTCCATGCTATCATTTATAGTATCAATATCAGTCATCATACACACAGATGGATGATGTACCAAATGTCAGCACACTTATAACATTAGATTAAATCATTTCCCTCTGAACGTGTTGTTCTATAAGACAGGGAAAGACTATGATGGCTTCAGCAACATGTCAGCTATACTGCCTGACGTCCAATGTCATCTGGACTGAGGGAGAGACTGATGGTGGCTTCAGCAACATGTCAGCTATACTGCCTGACCTCCAATGTCATCTGGACTGAGGGAGAGACTGATGGTGGCTTCAGCAACATGTCAGCTATACTGCCTGACCTCCAATGTCATCTGGACTGAGGGAGAGACTGATGGTGGCTTCAGCAACATGTCAGCTATACTGCCTGACCTCCAATGTCATCTGGACTGAGGGAGAGACTGATGGTGGCTTCAGCAACATGTCAGCTATACTGCCTGACCTCCAATGTCATCTGGACTGAGGGAGAGACTGATGGTGGCTTCAGCAATATTTCAGCCATACTGCCTGACCTCCAATATCATCTGGACTGAAGGAAAGACTGATGGTGGCTTCAGCAACATGTCAGCTATACTGCCTGACCTCCAATGTCATCTGGACTGAGGGAGACACTGATGGTAGCTTCAGCAAGATCAGCAACATTACAGCTATACTGCCTGACATCCAATGTCATCTGGATGAGGGAGGGACAGATCAACCTGCTACAATTCGGCAGACCAATGTCAAGAATGTGTGCACTCTCCTTGCCATCATAAGACATAGACCTCCCCAGTCTGGAACAACCCGAGTGCTCCAGTGGCCAGTCATTCCCTGTTTGCCCACCCTCGGACATGGAATTAACAAACTTAAATTTGTCAGTGAAATTCTATTGACTGTTGTGGCCCAACAATCCCCATGAAATTCTAACAAGCATAAAAAGGACATATTCTAACCTATGTTTGTACAACAAACACCTCGCTCTCCATAACCACCATGTTAGCACAGATTGATGAAGAATCAATGTTATCACATTCACATTCATTGATAACCAGCAGATAACACATGTAAATATATCACTCAACTTCAGATAGGGATACTAATATATTTCACATTCTGCGGTGACAATACAAAGGTTTGTACTTTGATTGGTTCAAATCCACTGCTGAGGAAAGGCTTGTTTGAAAGCACTCAAACCAGCAACATTTACTGACATATTGGAAATAATGTGTTGTAGGTATATATATACATCAATTACATGTCAATCCCAAGAACCAACATTTTCTGATTTTTTAAATCAAAAACATCAAGCTCACTCACATATTTCTATGAAATTTACAGAAACGAAATCTATATCTGACACTTCTAAGTTGTAAATTCTGCATCTAGGTTGGAAAGTCTTGTCATCTGACCAGTACTTCAACTGACACACGGTATAAGGCTCTGCCACGTTTAACATGTCAGCAGCTACTGCAGAGGTTCTGGTAATGAGCAGTTGACATGGGAAGGTGCCACTGGTGTCAGGTGTTTTGGGTAGGGCTGGGACGGGTCCATATTTTCTACCCGGGTACACTATCCCCTACATCCCTACCTGGATACCCGTTATATTAATTCCTGACATAAAAATTTGCAAGAAATGTCAACATATTCTTCAGCTCAGAGGCTAAAAGTTTGCGTTTTTTCTTAAATCTTAACCATATTCAAAAGAAGTTATTGTGTAAATTATGTCTAAATCTTCAAAGAAAATACAAGCTTTAAATAATGAAAGAATAACATATTACATTGTTTAATCTATTAGTCACATGATCATAACGGGTCTGGGTATTGAGATGGGTACCCGGGTCCAACTCATTACCCACCTGTAACCAGGTTACCTGTCCCAGCCCTAGTGTTGGGTGTAGGTTGCATTGTGTTGTGGGGTTCTGTGTTGTATTGGGGTTTGAGTTGCTGAGTGGGGTTTGTGTGTTGTATAGGGATTGTGTGTTGTATTGGGATTGTGTGTTGTGATACTGGAGCTATTTGTTTTGATTCAGTGTTGCGGACATGACTTGAAGCAAAGTGTTTGGGTACTGGCTTTGCAGGACAGTGTTAGATTGAGCACTTTCTTCATGGGTAACCAGTAGCGCTATTGCCTGGCAACAAGACATAACAATGGAACTGTATCACAGGGGAATCAGTTTAAACAGGTGAGATCAGGTAATATTAAGCAACAATATCAAAAAGACAAAATAACACATCTGAATAATTTCAACAAAATGACTCAGTCTTACTTAACTTCTGAAAGAAAGTGAAAGATCAAAAGTAGCCAACAACAGATCACTGCCATGAGGACAACCATGTTCCTGCATCCATTCTGTCCCCCATCGCCATGACTACAGACACATTACATATATTCACAACATAGGGTGAATTAAACCTATAACATATTCACTGGACAAGTTTAAAGTTGGCAGATTTGTGTGTAAGTCAGAGATATACTGTGAATACAAACCAATGGCATCATATTCATAAGACAAGTGTAAAGTTAGCAGATTCTTATTGTGAAAGTGTAAACCAGGCATATACTGTGAATACAAACAAATGACATATCCTTTGGACATGTTACCGTTTTTAAGGGCAGATTATTATAATGAATATCTAATACATTGCAAAAACATAACGGGTTAACATTGCATGTCGGCAGCAGAAAATATCTCAAACACATTTGTCAAATGTCTACCATGTAAAAAGAAACATTCACCTACGGCAAGTATCTGCAGCCACTGTCGAACACTACAGTTTAAGCTTCATCGTCAAGAAAGCCTAATTCATATTGTAATGGGAATAGAACTGTGAGCTAAGTGCCATCAAATGTATCTATTGTGTATCATACATAAGATTCGCAAAGTCAGACATCGGGGCAAAGAAAATCGCAAATATACTGCTCACAAGAAGTGAAGGATCACTTGCCATGACAAATGAACCTTATTGTAAAGGAACAATTTGATTGAATCCCAGATTTTCCAGGATTATGGCTTCTGGTTTTCGCTGTATTATCCTTGTGGTCATAAATTCAGCAGTGCTAAACATCAAGTCATGCATCACTTTGGGCCTTTCTCAAGCAATAAGTTGGCACACTGTGGCATAACTAAAACACTAATCAAAGGGATGTTAGTGCCTCAACAGGTACACTCGACTCATTAATACAAAGTTGTCAACTTTCCCCATGACTTCTTGAGCTCCCTACCACAGCAAACCCTGCACTACTAATGCAACCTTGGATTAATCAAAATCTTAACTTGATGCCTTAGTTTATTCCAGGCCAGACTAATTCCTTAGACCTTATCAGAGGCTTACATTCAGATTCAAGCCAGCTGCAAGTAACAGTAACAATTTTCATTTTCTCAGAAACACATTCAATTTTGATCAAAATATTTTTGAATTCTAAATAAATTCAAGCATTTTATGCATTAAGGATTTCTGTCCGTTAAAAGAACTGAAGTGACCAGAGAAATACATTTGAAAACCTCTTCTAATAAAAACAGAAATTACTGACTGAATATATTTTAGATTTTGTCTACTTCTATATTCTGTATTTGAATTTAATGTTTTACCCAAGAGAACAGGAAAGAGCAGAATGTCATTGTCAATTCTAGAAGCCACTGAGGTTCCAAAACACATTTATTATTAAACTTGTTAAACAGTTATACACATTGGTATGGTATAAATTGGAAAAGTAACTTAACTCAATTTACCGAAAAACTCTGCCCATCTTATGTGTCCTTGTTTTGAGTATCTCAACACACAATTACACGTCTAAGTCAACACTGTGTCAAGATAAAATAAAAAAGATTCGCTTTAGAAAAAAACCCAATTCTTCTCCTTACTCATTGTTCTCACAAGGCCCAGTTGCACAGAGCTATCTTAACACTAAAGTGATTGCAACTCACATACTTTAACAGCGGCTAATGCAGCAGGGCCTACACCTTTATATCCCAATATATTTATATTTCTTGGGTAGATTAGAATCACAGGCTACACATGGAGCCTGGAGACTAGATCAATAAGATCTCAACACTGACTGATATGGGGGTGGAAGGTTTGATATGATCACTGATTAACGCTATTTACAAACTCTGAAAATCAGAATGGCTGTAGAAACATTATTTCAAGTCTAAACCAACATGGAATTTCTATAGCAACAAGCAATAACTGATTAAATCTATTTTACATTGTGCATCAGTTTTAGTGTTTGTGGGATGTAAAAAAATAGAAAACGATTATTCCATTTGTAATATATACATACACATTCCAAGAAACAAAGAAACGAGTTTGATCAAATGCTGAAACAGGAGGATCTGTTTTGATTCACTAGATTAAATGACATCTCTGTACTGTTGTTAGTTCCATGACAGTTTTTGAAGGTAACACTACAACTGAGAGATAAGTCTACTTCAAGATAAACAAAGAGAAAAGCATTTGTGAGATTGATTTGTTTGTTTCACGCTGACAAAAAATGACCAGTTACTCTGGTAGCATAATGTAATATTGAACATATTTTGCAGGAAAAAATCCAGTTTTGATAATCAACTCAAATTTGATGCTAAAGAAATACTCTTTTAGATAAGAGACAGTTTATCCAGTTACCGTATACACCGGGCAGTAAATAACACGAGGACCAGCTGCCATGTATTTGTCTAGCTCAGCCAGAACAGAGCAACGCTTACACTAGAGCTTGAGTGAGTGAATGAGTGACTATTTACTCGCTTTTAGCAAAATTTCAGCAATATCACGGTGGGGGACACCAGAAATGGGCTTCACACATTGTACCCATGTGGGGAATTGAACCCGGGTCTTCAACGTGACGAGCGAACGCTTTAACCACTAGGCTACCCCCCAATAGAACTTGAAAATCGTAATGATTCATCAGTGAATGATGAGGTGAAGAAAGACTTACTGTCTTCCATAATGAAACTGTCTTTATGGTAACTGTAGTCTGACATGTGCCCATACACTCAGCCTCTTTGAGAAGGAATACCTATCTTCCGACAAGTTTGTGATATCTGTACCTAATCTTCAAACGTGGTAAACAAGGTGTGTCAAAATGAAAGCCTGAGATTTATCATGTTATACAAAAAAACAGAAGATGTAAAAAAACTGCTGCAAATGGAAGCAAGCTTCTCTGCTGTATTGGGTGACATTCTTGGAATTATGCACAGATATATTATAGCCAACAATTATATCACAGGAAACTAGCTCAGCTCATCCTCATTATCAAAATCGTCTTTTGTTAGGCCAATGAGGGATTCCTTATCACTACAAGGTAATTTGTTGTAATTATAATAGGACCAGCAAAGGCGCGCTGGTTGGTTTTGGCATATATGAATCCGGCAATAACAAGTATCATTACAATCATGATTCCACATATAGACACTAGTACCACCACGACACTGCGTATCGAGTCGGGCATCCAGATCTTGCTTGATGGACGTTGTCTGTGTGTACGTTGATCATCCACGTCAACACACTTATCCCCCAACAATTCCTTCCCAGCTACACAGGAAGTGCACTTGTTGGAGAGATCAGCACATTTCTCACACATTCTGGAGCACCTTAGGCATTGACCATCATCTGTGAAGTAAGACATTGCAGATGAAAACGATCTGACAAACTGCTTCAGATTCAGCCTTACATTTAAATTCTGAGCACACTCATCAATGAATCTTTTCTGTCTCACACAAATACCATTTTGCTCCGGAACAAACACTTAATAAAATATGTATGTATATCAAAACACACCCTTCTCACACATTCCTAGTCTCACACCCTCACTCATGCACATATGTTTGTAAATATCCACACAGGTACATTCACACACACACACTCAACATGTTCGATAGATGTTTGTTTACTTCAGCACAGGTGCGACTGCCTCCGTGGAGTAGTGGTTAGAGCGTCCGCCATTAAGCGGAAGGTCGCGGGTTTGATCCCCGACCGCGTCATACCAAAAGACGTTTAACTATGGTACTTGTTGGTCCCTGCCTGACGCTCGGCATTAATGGGTACAACAAGGACTGGTCGGCTCAGAGTCAGTATAATGTGTCTGAGTTGGGTATTCATGCATCACTGCGGCATGGTATCTCAGTGGGCTAGCACTATAAAAACAGCCGCACATACACGTAAACACGCATGCACGTGGTCAATATTGAGCGAAATATTCTCAAGCACGACGTTTAACCCAATTTCATCTCACCTCACCTCAGCACAGGTGCATTAAGCAGTAATAACCTCATAACTTGTTCAGAGATTGGGTTCATATGAGAACGATGAATGATTAAATATCTTGAAATAGGGATAAAACATAAATAAGACATGGCTGGTGGAACAGCACCAGCACACATTCAGGTGCAACTTGGCACAGCCAGGTGAGATGACCCCCGCTTGTCAGGCGCTGTTCCATCAGCCGTTTGTCACCCCCGGTGTGAAGCGTGGAAATAGAACAATATTACATGATAGTTTCTCAAACAACTTCTTCCATGATCGATCAAAAAACGTTATTTCAGATCCTGTTGGGTACAGAGGTTTCAGGACCATGTGTCTTTTGTGTACTTATCCCAATTTTGAGTTATTTAATAATTTGTCGTTTCCATTTGAACCCAAACGGACTTCAGTTGGCATTGAAGATGAAGCAGGGCTCCAGATAATTTTTCAACATCAGAAGTACGTACTCCTTATTTTTTCAATATAGGCGTACTGTATAAACTTAAGAGTACATTTTGAGTACTGAATGGAATTTAATGGCGTATCAGTAATCTTGTGTTTCGTTTAATATATGCACCACAACATTACTACTCTTGTGTAAACTGGTCAATAAACAATAAAACAACACTCTTTCAGATAAATACGTCTGTAAATGATTCAGAACGTACAGCACTGCTGTGCGTATGTGCTACGTTTTCTAAATTATTTCCTACCGTATCGTGCATATTTTTTATCTGTACATACGCCGATACGGCCCTTATCTGGAGCCCTGTGAAGTCTGTTGAAATTCTTAAAGATGTTAAGGTGTGATGACAGCTAACAGGAGAATTTATGGCTGTGATCGATGTACCATCAGTACTGTACTTACTTTTGTAGAAGCCATCAAAGCATTCTTCAACACAAACATGCTCCTTGGAAGTGATCAAGAGATAGTGTCCGTCACGACACGTGATGCAGTCCGACATCAGTGGCCCACGGCACGTACTGCATGTCTGATGACAGCGTTGGCACATGTTCAGTTCCTTGTAGTAGCCGATGGGTTCACACTCTGCTACACACTCACTGCAGGGACAACAAAAAGGCTCAGTAAATCACAGCTGATTTCTACTGAAATACTACTTTTAAAATTGAATTTGGTCTAAATATTTCAAGAAATGTGCCCACATCAGCCAACAGAGTCTGAGTGAGCTTAGTTTTACCCCGCACTCAGCAATATTCCAGCTATATGGTGTTGGTCTGTGCAAAATCAAGGTCTGCACCAGACAATCCAGTGATCAACAGCATGAGCATCGACCTACGCAATTGAAATACGATGACATGTGTCACCTAAGTCAGCGAGCCTGACCACCGTGATCCCATTAGGCGCCTCTTATGACAAGCATGGGTTGCTGAAGACAAATCTAACCCAGATTTTCATGGGTAACAAGAATCTGAAGACAAGAAGACAAATTTGAGTGAAAGACTGGACTTACCCTGTGTCAGTGACCCTGAAATTAGCACACTGTAAACACTGTGTTGGGCTGGGGCCGGTGCAGTTGAGGGCACACTGCTCGTCACACTTATACTGCAGGAGGGAAGGTAAAACACAGGATATATAATCACAGTGAGGTAACACAGAGGCTTAGTCAGAAATGAAAAAGTTGATGAAATGGTACAGCGCAATATTTTATAATGCCATATAGTCTTGAAAAGGAACACTTTTTATGGATAAACAACTTCTTTATTGCAACAGATGCGACATTTCTGGGAAGAAAACTTTAAGAAGCCATATAGTCTTCACAAAAGCATGACAACTGCAAAATAGGCTACACACTGTTTTTTGGAATTCAAACATTCAGTGAAAGGCTGATTGTACATACCTAGTCACACACAGGGTATACATCTACAGACAGAGGCCCTAGCTTTGTTTCTTTATTAATTAACACAGACCCTCGCTATTCTTCCAGTCAGGTCGAATGAGTATAATAAAGTGAAACCTGTGGTTGATATCACAAGCATCACCCGATAATGGCATGGGGTGGTGACAGCATCTGCCCTCTCTTACCGGTGTTGTCGATCCAGTGCCTGGAGTCCGTGTGGACGCTGCGGTTGATGGAGTTGTGGATGGTGCTGGTGAGGATGAAGCTGGCTCCGGGGGGCCCTCGGGGCGGAGATGGACTGGATCTGTTGCCGTACCGTGCAGGACCAGTGACCACTGCTGTAGAGTGCCTGTGTACCAAAGAATGAGAGTACAGCAACAGCTTAAAGCACTTAATCTGCTGCTATGGTCATCATCCTGCCCAGTGCCTTACATCTTAGTGGCCATTGTGTGCCAGCATCCTCATCTTAATCCCTGTTGTAACTGATGACCCAGACACCAGGACTAAAACTAAAATGTCAATTATTGGACCTTAAAATACATGTCAAAAGATGAGCAAAGGAATTTCTGTTTAACTTAAATTTTTCAAATATTTAAAACAATGTATCCAATCTAACAGAAGAATTTACATATAAATGAATTACTTCAACAAGAATTTGTTGACATAATGTTGAAGTGAATAAGGTGAATCTAGGTGTGATATGTATCCTGACCGTGATCAGTTAGAGCACATTAGACACTGATAGATGATAGGAGGTCAAAGCAGGAACTCACACACAAAGCAGAAGCAACTAGATGGGTACACGGTCTACGGAAGACAACTCTAACTACTAGATTGAGAGAAGCAAGACAAAAGCAATGCTGTAACACACAGCAGAAAGCAGCAAACACCGAATGTAAGCAACACAAATATATACCAGTCAACTAGGGATGTTAAGACAATATTAACAAATACATTTGATGGTCATCTCAAAGTGAGCAGACGTACACATGAATCTCACCTGTCAGTCTCACCTTTCAGTATAAGTTATGTCTCACCTGTCTGCACTTCTGTCCTGTCTCACCTGTCTGCACTTCTGTCCTGTCTCACCTGTCTGCACATCTGTCCTGTCTCACCTGTCTGTACTTCTGTCCTGTCTCACCTGTCTGCACTTCTGTCCTGTCTCACCTGTCTGTACAACTCTCATGTCTCACCTGTCTGTACATCTGTCCTGTCTCACCTGTCTGTACAACTCTCATGTCTCACCTGTCTGTACATCTGTCCTGTCTGCACTTCTGTCCTGTCTGTACACTTCTGTCCTCTCATGTCTCACCTGTCTGTACATCTGTCCTCATCTGTCCTGTCTGCACTTCTGTCCTGTCTCACCTGTCCACATCTGTCCTGTCTCACCTGTCTGCACTTCTGTCCTGTCTCACCTGTCACTGTACATCTGTCCTGTCTCACCTGTCTGTACAACTCTCTGTCCTGTCTGCACTTCTACCTGTCTGTACAACTCTCATGTCTCACCTGTCTGTCTCTGTCCTGTCTCACCTGTCTGTCCCTACTTCTGTCCTGTCTCTCCAATTAGTGATTTTATTTTGAAGGGAGCTTCAAATAAGTGATACAAGTGTCTCCACTATGTTCTAAGAAGAAGAAGACAAGCAAAAAGAGCACAGTCAGGATAAGGAAAATTTTAACAAATACATTTGATGGTCATCTCAAAGTCATGTCTCACCTTGCCTCGCACTTCTGTACAGTCTCACCTGTTCGCAGGATCTGTCCTGTCTCTCACCCGTCTGCACATCTGTCCTGTCTCTTCTGTCTGTCTCACCTGTCTGTACAACTCTCATGTCTCACCTGTCTGTACATCTGTCCTGTCTCACCTGTCTGTACAACTCTCATGTCTCACCTGTCTGCACTTCTGTCCTGTCTCACCTGTCTGTACAACTCTCATGTCTCACTTGTCTGCACTTCTGTCCTGTCTCACCTGTCTGTACAACTCTCATGTCTCACCTGTCTGTACATCTGTCCTATCTGACCTGTCTGCACTTCTGTCCTGTCTCACCTGTCTGCACTTCTGTCCTGTCTCACCTGTCTGCACTTCTGTCCTGTCTCACCTGTCTGCACTTCTGTCCTGTCTCACCTGTCTGTACATCTGTCCTGTCTCACCTGTCTGCACTTCTGTCCTGTCTCACCTGTCTGTACAACTCTCATGTCTCACCTGTCTGTACAACTCTCATGTCTCACCTGTCTGTACTTCTGTCCCGTCTCACCTGTCTGCACTTCTGTCCTGTCTCACCTGTCTGTACAACTCTCATGTCTCACCTGTCTGCACTTTTGTCCTGTCTCACCTGTCTGTACAACTCTCATGTCTCACCTGTCTGTACAACTCTCATGTCCCATCTGTACATCAGCCTTGTCTCACCTGTCTGTACATCAGTCATGTCTCACCTGTCCGTACATTGATCATGTTCAACATGAAAATACTTGGTGTTGATTAAGATATATTGCTGTTTTTAATAAATAGCAGAACTGTCCCACGATTGAAACATAAATCAACTAAAGATGATGTTTCTCGTTTCATCAGTCAAGATATATCTACAAGCAGCCCTATCTCAGTCATTTATTATACAGGGGATCAGGGAGAGGCACCAAATATAACAAGCATTAGGGAAATAATTTCAGTACATTAGTGTACCAGGGACACATCACTCACCACCACCCTGACCCCCTTCTAATAAATGAACAGTCCCAAAATCAAGTGATCTGACACATTTAGGAGATAAACATCATGTGTTGGGCCAATTTCCGGGTGTTATTGAGTATTTGAAGCATGGGAATTCATGAAATATTCACGTGATTCAAATACACGAGACCCGGAAATTGACGAACACATGATGTTTATCAACACTGTAACCACAAAAGTAAACCAAAAGGTCCGCATGCATTTTTCTGCCTGCACTCAATGACATCAAGTACAGCTACAGCAGTCAAGGGCGAAAAAAGTGTGAATTTGTACATATTAATACGCAGTGGCTAGTCTTGCAATTTCTGGGAATCAAATACCATTTGATCATGTTTTTCAACCAATCAGATTAAAGAACACAGTGACTTTTGGTTTACAATTTGCATTAAGCATAATTGCACAAATAAAAGCAACAAAAAACATACCAAGCACAGTAACAGGGAGTAAAGACAAGCCGTTATAGCGATAGTTGTGCCCAAAGTAGGGCAGAGAGGAGTAGGGGGACAAACTACCTCCCCCAGACCCGTAGGTGCCAGTGTCCTCAATCTCCAGCGTCCACTCCCCTTCTGACCCCTCTCCCCAGAAGTGGACAGACAGAAACGCCCAGTTGTTGAAGTTTCCACCCATTGAATCGTTTGGACGCCGTGGTAGAAGCGTGGATCTTGTCCCACTGGGAGAGGTGAGGTATATCTTGACGTCCCCTCGGCGGTGGGCGGTCAGTGACACTTTGGCCTGGACGTGCTCCAGAAACTTCACGTCTCTATTAGTACCACCACATCCATCTGTCCGTATTCTTAATGTTACTTTTGAACTTGATAACGCTCTGTAAAACAAGAGAAAGCCACATCAAGCAAAGCCATGAAGTTATCAGAGTCAAAACACTATCATTACAAGTCAAGAGAATGGCCATCAACAAAAGTTACACAATTACAAATTGTTCTCCTGCCACCATCTGAAGTTCGGGATGAAGGGATAAGAACTCCCATACCATACCTCCCATGGGCTCGCAACTGTTGTACTGGGCCTAGATTTTCTAAGCTCTCTTAGCGCGCTAAGTTAGTCATAAGTGCCATACATTTACATTAACTTACGACTATCTTAGCGCTTAAGAGAGCTTCGAAAATCTAGGCACTGTATTCTATCATGGCTGGATGTAAACTGAAGGGAATTTTCACTTATTGGACAACAGATGATGTTGTAAACTGTCAGATGCACCAATACTTTCAGAAATGTATCTCTGTAAATTAGACCACTTAGTATGACTTAAACATGGGACTTACTCAGGAATAAGGTTACCAAAATTTGGTCCAACCTGTCCACTAGTACTGATTAGATATTTCCAAAACAAATTTCTTACATCAACATGTATGTACATTGTAGGTGAATGATCAACTCCAACTTGAGTGAGTGAGTGAGCTGGGTTTTATGTCGCTTTTAGCAATATTCCAGCAATATAATGGCAGGGGACACCAGGAATGGGCTTCACACATTGTGCCAATGTGGAGAGTTGAACTTGAACCTGAGCCTTTGGCATGATGAGCGAACACTTTTACCACTAGGCTACCACACCGTCCCTCCAACTTAAGGAAGTATTGATGTTGAATACTGATCTCTTCCCTCGATCTTCAAGCTGAATGACAGCATTCTGTTCATAATGGAGTGACGACCAGAGACTCCAATGATTGACATCATCAACATCAAACTACACTGTTGGGATATGATGACATTTATCAACCTAATCCTGTGAGTCACTGTCTTACAAACTGAAAGGATGCTGAACACAAGTTATAACTCAGATGTTCACAGTTGTATAAAGCCAAGAGGTAGTACTAACACATTTTGCTGTGTGGAATGAACTTCACAGATATGCTGCTCCGGAACGTTGGTCCACTGAAGGGCAAGGTCAACCATCTTGGCTCCGTCCATTAATCCATATCCATATCTCAGACTCACTGACAACAGAGACAGTTAGGTGAGGGGACAGAAAAAAATTCAACCTAAAAATCATGACACTGATATTGTTGTGTTGACATTATCTGAGGTGTATTAGTCTAGAAAATACTGTTGCACAATGATTTGATAAAGATGATGGTTCTACACATCTATTGACTATGTCAAACTGATTGCATTTTCCCTCAACCCAATGTTAAACGCAATATAAGAGCCACTGAAGAATATATACCGTATATGACCGTCTATAAGCCGAATTTTGAGGACCAAAAAAAAGCAGTCTGTAGAAGGGGGTCGTCTTATCCATGGGTTACGCTTTCGTCAAACTTTTTTCCAGGGGTAAGAAAACAACATCGTATCACTCCGCGTTAACAAACAACAGAAGACGACTTTGTCAGTAGAGACGTCAAATTTGCAATTAAACATCACTAGACAAGATTATTTACCTTTTAAGTTATAAGTTGTTTTTGCTGGGCATTGTATTATTTGCAGGGATTAAGATTACCGTGTGTATCTGAGCCGGAAATAGCAATCAGCTGTGCACACGTTTCCCGGCGAACAAGTTAAAACATGCACAATAATATAACGGGATGAATTCTGACGCAGTCGTCAGTAAAATATAATACAGAATACTATTATTTAACCCAAAGAAATATATCCTAGCATTGTGTAATTTTATTAAGTTTTTATGTAAAATATATATAATCAACACTAAGGTTATACGGACCCTCATGAACGTGGTAAGCACATGGAATGGGGTAAAATACGGAAGCCATTTAAATTCACACATTTTTACCGATGTTACTGTAAACTAGCAATCAATGGAAACAGAGGCGGTAATCAGTTTGTGATTGTTGAATGGGGTAAAATAAGCAAGCCAGTTTGTTGCTACAATAAATATGATTTTTAGAGAAGCAAAATATATTATGCATTTTCTGTCAACTACACTTCGTTTCGATCTGTGAGTAGACACAATATATATGGCAGTGAATTCTTTGAATAATGTGGACCAAAGTTATAATTATTGTTAACTGCCAGTTGTCTGTGGTCTGTGTTTGCCGCGATTAGGACCCCATCGCGGGGGATCGACTTATGCACGAAACATACCATTTTGACACTGATTTTAAGGGTCAAGTTTGGGGGTAGTCTTATCCATGGGGTCGTCTTATAGACGGTCATATACGGTATGTCATTATGAGAGCAGTTATTTCATTGATCTAGAACTGTAAATCCAGTCAACAGTAGATTTTGTAGACCTCTAAACCCCACAAACCAAACTTTTTACTAGATATTAACATTTTCAGTAATTCAATAGTCCACCACAAACTTTCAGAGATGTTGTAAATGTTAATGTAATGCATGTATCACTCAATGTTGAAAACAAAAGCCTTTATAGGAAACCGACACTTACAGTGGAATCAGTATGTGAGATACCAACCAGAGTAATCTCTTATTACCTTTCCTCTTCAAGGCATTGACAACCCACTGTCCATCAACAAAGGGCTCCGGTGTGGCAGCCATCAGCGTGATATACTGGACATCCCTCCACGTCAAGTTGGGGCTGAAACAATACAAAACAAGTCAGTGAGTGGAGTTTTACGCTGCTTTTAGCAATATTCCAGCAATATCATGGCAGAGAACGGCATGAATGGGCTTCACACATTGTACCCATGTGAGGAATCAAACCCGGGTCTTCGGTGTGAAGAGCGAACACTTTCACCACAGGGCTAGACCACCGCCTCCAGAACATCTAGAGTGAGTCCTTGAGTGGGTATGGTTTCACGTCGCTTTTAGAAATATTCAAGCAATATCAAGGCAGGGGACACCAAGAATGAGATTCATACATTGTCCCTATGCCGATCCCGGGCCTTTGGTGTGAAGAGCTAAAGCTTTATCCACAGGGCTACTCCAACCCCCTCCCACCCCAAATACAACACAAGGTGTGACTGGGGACACATGGTGTGATTCAGGGTGCACTGTTTGACTTGAGGTGTATTGTGTGACCGAAGGTGCAAGCTGTGAACTTACTTTGCCTCGAGAGTCAGAGCAACAATCCCGGCAGCAAGGGGTGCGGAGGCAGACGTTCCTGTGTGGGAACTGGTGCACCTGTCATGGAGATCTACTGTTGTCTGTCAGTAGTCAAGATGAAACAAGAAACAGTGGATGAGTCAGCTACTAGAGTCTCACAATATTGCACAAGGGAAAATCAAAAGTCTTGTTTGTTTTGTATTGACGTCCTTTGCATATTGTAAAATGAAGGTCAACATTTCATGAAAACTAAAACATCTGCCCACATATTCATTTTAGCAATTCTGCATGCTGATAGTTGAATCAGTATCAAATTACACTGATTCATTTGTCATTGTTCATATCACAAACTGACAATGCAAGAGCAAAAACATGATTTCAACATTGCAATGACATAACTGACATATAACATTTCTTTATGCTCTTGAACAAATTAAATTATCTTAAAGTTGAATACCTACTTCAGTCTTGCAAAATATGTTCATCTTGAAAGGATTTCTTAAAGTCTACCACCACCATTCCTCCTCTATAAATGCTAATTCCTCCAACTACCATCCTCTATATACCCATACCACCATTCCTCCTCTATAAATGCTAATTCTTCCAACTACCATCCTCTATATACCCATACCACCATTCCTCCTCTATAAATGCTAATTCCCCAACTACCATCCTCTATGTACCCATACCACCATTCTCTATTGATAAATAACCGGGACCCATTCTCTCGAATAGCTTGACCTATCAGACTTTCTTTCAGTCAGGAGTCATTTGTTTGGGTTGCCATGTTCTGTGTTGTACAATTAAAGCTACAGTGATGGTTGGTTCGAAGGCAATTCTTACAGAATGGAGATGTAACATACAGAAGATACGTAGCTTGTTGTTTATCGACTAGAGGTGCTTGAGGTAACTCACGATCTGTTTCTCATTGTAAGCACCACTGCTGTAGGTGGTGGCAAGGGTGGAGCTGCACTCCTCTAGATACCATGGCTTCGTCCCCTTCTCTGAGGTGCTGCTGATGGAGAGGGTGTAGATACTGTTGGTGTACCCGTCACAGTTGCAGGAGTCCTGCGCACTGCCACCATTACCAGATGCCCACACAAAGATGGATCCTTTCCCGCCTCGGCCCTATAAACCATGCATGGAATTGGGTTACATCAACCTAACTGATGTAGCCAGACCGTATCTGGACTGATATCTGATGAAAGAATTCGTCATTCATTCAAAATATTTTTAGAGTGCCTCTGGATTTATTGCACTCACTGGTTTCGCTTTTGCTGAAAACAGATTGTATGTAAATTTGTTATAAGACAAATCATATGGATAACGACTTCTGTTTTTGTTTCTCACGACGGTCATGGTTCATCCATCTGAAGAAGGGGAAAGAAATAGCCCAGAAATGTCATGAGAAACAAATGAAGAAGTCGTTATCCATAAGATTTGTCTTGTATCATTACACCAACTTCTAAATACCTTTGAAGAATTTAAATTTGTTAGTTCAACACTGAAACAACCTTCAAAGCATCAGTACACATTCTCAGATGATGGAGGAATGTAGTGCATACCAATGTAAATTATTCATTGTGTACAAAGAAAAAATGTAAGCTTGGTTTAAAGAAAGGAGACAAATGACTGGAAAGAGTTCTTCCTCTGAATGACCTATTTCTCTACCTTTACTATGCCTTCTGAAAATGCTTTCTTGGCAAGCGGTCCAGGCCCATCAACAACTCGGCCATCGTCATCAGGGCCCCAGCTGGCGGAGTAGATGTCAATGTAGGTGTTGTTGAAGCTCAGTGATGTTGCCTCAACAGCATCGTATACCTCACCATCCAACATCCGTACACCTATAACACAGGCGTAAGATATTTATTTATTACCATCGATTCCTATACTGCACTTATCCACCTTTCTAGTAGCTGCTCAAATACAGCTTTATATGTTGCCCAACCAGTGAGTGAGTGAGTTCAGTTGTACACTGCATTCAGCAATATTCCAGCTATATGGTGGCGGTCTAAATAATCAAGTCTGGACCAGACAATCCAGTGATCAACAGCATGAACATGATAAGATGACATGTATCAACCAAGTCAGCGAGCCTGACCAGCCGATCCCGTTAGTCGCCTCTTATGACAAGCATGGCTTACTGAAGACCAATTCTAACCTAGATCTTCACGGGTCGAGGCGCATTTGAAGCAGTGTGCGAAATAGCCACTGGTCCGCTAACCCTTGGCTAGTAAAAATCAGTCGGGCCAGTAAATCTTCACAGTCCAACTGGCCAGTGAAATTTCATGTGGTCATTTTGTAAATATATTACTCTCTGAAAACGTGTTAAGTTCTAACAAACTTTTAAAACATGCCACACTATGGCCTGATAAAAATCATACTAGCAGCTTAATGATGAAACCGTGTCTACATTCAAATTTTGGCAAGCTAATTATTTTGTGGGCTAGTAACTTTCATTCATAGCTATCCCGACGGGGTAGCAAAATTTGGAAACTATTTCGCACACTGATTTGAAGCCACTTGCACATGGTGACACAGGTTTTGACACATGGGTCTAAAGTGTATTTACACATTCATGTTTCCACCATCTGCCATAGGATGAGTGGGTTCTTTTGATACGCTGAATAACAATCTGGTCACTGTGGGATACGATCTCATCACCGTGTTTGCTAGCCTTGTGCTTCACACCACAAAGACGCAGGTGTTCATTATATATAATAATAATAATAATGGATAGCATTTATATAGCGCAAATCTCCGCAAAGGACTCTTTGCGCTTGCTTTGTTTTTCCCTCGTTCACTGGATGTCAATCTCAATGGCACATCGTATTGTTAATCTCAACTCCCTGGGGAGCATACAACTCTTGCAGCAACTAGGCGCACCGAGTTATTGTGGCATTCCCATCCTTACGAGGTACCCATTCACAGCTGGGTGGACTGGGACACATATGTGTGCCATTCATGTATAATTTTTGATTGATGAAAGGTCAGAGAAATCAGTGAAATTGTGAATACTACACATTCCATAATCAATAATCAGAAAGTTATTCCAAAGAAAAGTTTGGGTACCTCCAATTCTGGACCTGTAAGCAATGCCGACTCCACACTTGGAGTTGTTGGCGGCTGCAGACACCTCCCCTGCACATCGTGTGCCATGTCTGGAACACACAGGACACTGAACATGTGGAACACTGTGGAAATCTAGTTTGTCATCAGATCAAAATTGTAGGATTTCTTGTTTAAACGAGTCATCAGAAGATGACATATCCCCCCGGCCCCCACATTTTTAAAAAAACAAATCATCTGACACTTAAAGTCCAGCTTGATTTATTTTAGACTAAGTCCAAATCGTTTCAAAGGAAACTGAGAAAAATAAAATCTGTAAATAGCAAAAGGCACCACTTCAAGATCTGTCTCATATATCTGCCAAGTTCTGTTGAAAGATATTGAACGGTTTTCGAGTTGTGCTCAGAAACGAAGCCCACCCTCCTTTTTGAGGAGTCAGAATCGTTTCCATGGAAACCAGGAAAAAGAAAAAATGCCAAAAATCTACAAATAGCAAAAGGCACCACTTTGAGATCTGCCTCACATATCTGCCAAGTTTTGCTGAAAGATCTTAAGAAGTTTTCTAGTTGTGCTCCGGAAATGAAGCCCACCCGTCCCTTTTGAGACTAAGTCCGAATAGTTTCCATGGAAACCGAAAAAATAACAAATCACAAAAATCTGTAAATAGCGAAAGGCACCACTTTAGGTTCTGTTTGATATATGTACCAATTTTTGCAGAAAAATATTGAACGGTTTTCGAGTTATGCGCCAGAAACAAAGCCCACCCCTCCCTTTAAGACTAAGTCTAAAACATTTCCATGGAAACCGAGAAAAATAAAAATGACAAAAATCTGTAAACAGCAAAAGGCACCACCTTAGGCTCTGTTTGATACATCTACCAATTTTTGTTGAAAAATCTTGAAATGATTACGGACGGACGGACAGACAGACAGACAAGGGGGTTGATTATATCCCCCCGCATTACATGCTGGGGGGATGAAAATACTTGTGACCATTCTTCTCTTATGGAGTGTACACTGTTTACAGTGTATTACTATGTTTATCAGCCATAACAATATTGTTCATAACATACTTGTTGATTTAAACCTAGTGTTATACAACAATGTAGATCATGTTGTTAAACACCACGGACAGGGCAAGCTTAGTTGGAAGAGGTTGTCCCCTACTCCCATTCACCTCTCGTGTATAGTAGTGTTGGGAATTGGTTAAAATCTCATAATTGATGATTGGTCCATTACAACCGATCAATCATCGAAAATAATTGGTTAGCGTCATTTATCAAATTGTCCTGGTTGTGTTTATAAATTCACAAAAAATAATGAAAAAAAACATGCAGTTCTTTCGGGGTTTTCTTGTTGTTGCAAATTTCACCTCTTTAAAGGATGACTAGTATGTTAGGAACATAAATTTCCTGGTGTGTTCAAGATAAATTTAATCACGACTTGGAACGAGCTTGTAGTGCTTATGAAACGTAACATTCAAAACCAACCTTGTGATAAATATTGTTAATGCAAACAAGTGTTACAAACTTGTTTGTGTTCAATTATGACAAAACATGATTGATTGCTTGGTCATTTAGTCATTGCGACCAATCTTCGATTATTTCAATTAATTGGACCACCACTAGTGTATAGTGAGTGAAAAAAGTTTTAAGCCGCACTCAGCAATATATATTCCAGCTATATAGCTGTGCTCTGTAAATAATCAAGTCTGAACCAGACAATCCAGTGATCAACAGCATGAACATCGATCTACACGATTGGGATACGATGACATGTGAGCCTGACCACCTGATCCCATTAGCAGATCTGTTAGTCGCCTCTTACGACAAGCAAGGGTTACTGAAGACCAATTCAATGATATGTGCATTGTGCCAAGGAACAAGCATGTACTTTCATATCTTCTGAAGTGTACAGCAACACGAACTCCAGCTATTATTGTCATAATCCACACATTTATACTAAAGCTTCAATTGTACCCGGTACCAACTAACAATGGTCTTGCATTATCAGGAATCATTATCAACCAAATGAGATCCACTGACAAGTGACACAACCATTCCAGTCAACTCATGTTTACGGTAACCACTTTTCATTCTCATATCAAGACTAATTTGTTATCAACAGTATATAACCATATATATCCCAGTTATCAACAGACCACAGACCTGTTTTCATTTGAGGGGTCGTATCTTGGCATGGGATCGTTATCATGGCCATTGACATCATAGCTGGCGTAGGGATCCTGCAATAAAACACGTCTCGTCCACTCAGCATATCATCAACACATCAAACAGCTGTGTACTTCCATAGGTTAAACCATACAAAGAATAATCAAACTTATATTTGTTTCACCAAAAATACCAGAACACCCAAACAAATTACTGCAATAGGTACTGTTTGAAAAAAATTATTTGTATACAAAACATACACAGCAGTCCTACTATGCAGCAATTTGCAATATATTATCAATATATTATCAATATATTATCAATATTGCTAGTCCATAACTCTATACATAACCTGAATTCTGCATGTTCTATATTATCCTAATCTGATTCAATTTGAAACATATGAATAACTTAAGGTGACACCTTATGACAACCTTTAATAGTGGGCAGCTTGGGAATCTCATCCCTGCTTGCAACTATATCCCTAACCAGCTGTTCATAAATCTATTTCAGGAAGATGTTTTGCTTGGATTTTTTCCCGCTTATTGCTGCAAAAGTTCTGCCGTGTGTCTGCAGCCAGTAATGAATCAAGCCTGGGCTTGTCAAACCAATAATGTGCATTATGAGAAATGATCAACATGATCAGAACATGAAGAATTGTTTTCATAAGAAAAAAGTATATTGGGTGAAGTTGAAATTCCCCCATATCCTGACAGAAAGTAAAAGCCTACATAGTTATCGACGAGATCAGCATGGTTCCTCTCAATCCCATCATCCAAGATCGTGATGACAACACCCTTGCCTGTGTAACCACGCTTCCATGCCGGTATGACATTCATGTCGAACCCATTAGCAGCCCCTCCATGCTGTAAGAACAAAAATCATTGATCACAAGATATGAAGTCATTCGTGTGACTGCTGTAATCACAAGGGGCAGCTGATTATGCCATCCATTAGTGAAATAACATCGCAGCAGGTTTACTTGGAGCATTTACTTGAAATCCTTCTCCCAAATGGTTTGGTTTGTTTGTTGTTTAACGCCACACTCAGCAATATTCCAGCTATACGTCAGCGGTCTGTAAATAATCGAGTCTGGACCAGACAATCCAGTGATCAACAGTATCAGCATTGATGTACGCAGTTGGGTTGGCTTGTTGTTTATCACAGCACTCAGCAACATTCCAGCTATACGTCAGTGGTCTGTAAATAATCGAGTCTGGACCAGACAATCCTGTGATGAACATCCTGAGAATCGATTTACACAATTGGGATACGATGACATGTGTCAAGCTAGTCTGACCACCCGATCCCGTTAGTCGCCTTTTATGACAAGCACCTCCCAAAAGGATTCTACCGCTACTCAATATACTCGTATCTACATGCTCTTTGAGAAAGGGGGATGCACACTTTTGAGAGGGAGGGGGGAGAGGAATGCACACTTCATTTTCACCTGTTTTCATGAGAGTTTCAACGGTCATTTAATAAACTGTCAGGACAAAGGGGGCTGGGGGTTTGCACCCCCCTGCACACACCCCTCCCTCTGGATCTGCCGGTGTGTTACTTTGAATCTGGATCAGGATCCCCAGAAGTCTTACATGTCCTATTTTACATGGCACCGTAATGTCACTGCTTGGAGCATTCACATGAAACTGACATATTTCCAACAAAATGTCCAGTTGACATTTACCTAGAAAACATTTCCCAAACTAGTATAAAACATCCACAACATTAAGTGATATTTGAGACTTCTATAAATAAATTTGTTGATGTTTAAATTTCAATTGTTGAATGGGAAGCAAAGAAATTCTGTTGTTGATCAGATTGATTGAGTGATTGAGTTGGGCTGTATGCCCTTTTTAGCAATATTCCAGCAATATCACAGATGGGTACACCAGAAACGGGCTTCACACATTGTACCCAAGTCGGGAATCGAACCCGGGTCTTCAGTGTGATGAGCAAACACTGGGCTACACCACCATCCCGTTGTTGATCAGAAGAAAGGGTGACATAACACATCCTACTTCAACCTGACACACCCTAGGGTCACCTTATATATCCCCCTGCCATGATTCACCCTGGTGCCACATGTCACATCCTACACTACGCACATTACACACGTAACTACACGTCAACTTACCAGGTACCACTGGTCTTTGTAGTTGGGGTCATTCAGAAGGAATGGAGGTGCAGGCTTGAGGTCCCTTTTCACCCTCTTCTTCTCGATCTGCTGCTCAAACCACAGCACCTGCAGCAACAACAGCAACACATTCAGCACACCCAGGAACATACTAACCACATGTTTCTCACGGTACATTTTCATTCCAGTTGTTCTCCAAGGGCCTAGACACGGAAAGTTTGACTTCAAACTCTACCATAGCGTACGTTGTCTCGTATAGCTGTCATTAGGTCGCACGGTATTACCAGTATAACGGTATATCACAGTACGCTTTTCAAATGTCAGTATTGCAATATTTTTTCTGAGAACCGGTATATTGGGCAAATAACATATATGAAGTTTTTGTGATTATCCTTATGGCTTAAATTAAAATCTACACAGACTTTCGTTCACAACAGATGTTTTCCTTAGTTATTCAATGACAAAACTGCATACTGTAATACTGTAAATTGTATAAAAAAGAAAATAGAATCCCTGACTATGCAACCTAATTCTGAGATTGCTGTTATCCGAACCATAACATATAACATAACATTTAGCGACTTATAATGTAGAAAATAGGATTGACAAGCCTAATTAGTATCACTCAGTGTCAAACACTTAAGTTCCCAATATATCGCTATACATATCGCTATACAGGTACCTGAATCGCAATGTATTGTAATACAACTTATTTGCCAATACACAGCCCAAGTTATGTTATACAAAGGTGCATTGTAGAAAACTTCAACTGATCATCAGCCAAAGATTTTTGTTCTTTTTTATATCAACTTCTTTATTTGTTAATTATGGTATTTCAAAGTTCACTCTTATTGCTTGTTCTGGAAAATGAATAAGAGGTTGATATGAAAACAAAGGCTGATTCAAGCTCATCACATCTAAATGCCCTCCAAAGTAATGAAATTCATCATGCTGCACAAAGATATTCTGTACACAATTTCCATTTTTCATCCTAATGAACAAAGGTATTCTGTTCACAAAGCATCATTATCTTTCCTAAAAAATCTGCTGACTTCAACAATATTCAAAATCTTTCGACTCAAAAAATTTATTTGCAACGAGACCTTTGAAATTGTGACATGTATCCTTCATAATTTCAGAGAGAATGTTATTGATGTTGAAACAGTGAAGATTTGAATAGGCTCCATGGTGCAGGAGTTGGTAGGGGAGATTGACGTGCAGGCCGCAGTCACGAGTACAGATTAGTCATATGGAATACTTCCACAGCTTCAGTCAACATTGATCACAAACCGTACTTGTAAAGCTTCTGTAAGCATTAACGAAGTTAAAAAGTCGAAAAATACATTATTCATTCCTTCTCAAATGTTTTAGTCAGTAACGAGAAAAATGCAATTTGATACCAATTGCCGAGTTTGGAAGTCCCTACTGGTGTGATAAGATCCTCCTCGTGACCAGATGTGTTCCTCAGCATCAAGCTTGACTCGTGCTGGCCTTCTACTTTGCAGGACATCAAGTGATATTACAGATATTATCTTACACAAATATTCCTGCAGCTGCGCTGTATGCACACAAACCTCTCACACATTGTTCACGCTGGGGATATCACTACACCGCTTCACATCGTACACGCCGGGGATATCACTACACCGCTGCACATTACTAACATGAACTGGGATGATGGATGGAAACACTAATAACATCCTAAAATGACCCCCAACAGAAGCTGATGAATGTGAAAGGCTAAATTGCATCATGCCTGCAGTTCTGAATCTCCAATCCCACTAAGGGTTCCCTTTAATCTTTAATGGAGCCACCTGTTTCTTTCCAATTTATATATTTGTAAAAACTAAGCTTTAATCTAGGAATTCAGGAACATTTCAATACCACAATTGGCACAGAGCAGTCATACCCACATGGAACAGAGCATTCATGACATACCCACATAGCATAAAGTCTTCAGCAACAGATACACATGGCACAGAGCATTCAACTATGCATGTCTACATGGCACATAGCATTCAACTATGCATGTCTACATGGCACATAGCATTCATACCCACATGGCACAAAGCATTCAGCAACAGATACACATGGCACAGAGCATTCAGCAACACATGTCTACATGGCCCACATCATTCAGCAACAAATGTCCACATGGCACAGAGCATTTCGTAACATAAATAAAGGATAATGCTGATGACATATCTGTATTCTGTGTGTTCTAATTCAAGACGAATCATAATTGATTTTCCATCATCGTTCTTTACATTTTTTTGCCAACTAATTTGAGCTAAACAAACTGCAACTTTGGGCCCTATTCCATTTTCATTTTCCTGAGGGAAATAATCTCTTGTTCACATAAAAAATACCAGTGATGTAATTGATTCCAGTCTCATCCAATTCATCAGCCTGAATCATGCATTTTTTGTGCCTGAGAGGCATTCCATCGGCCAGCTTCTGCAGCTTCCAATATGGCAGCCTGACGCAGCAACAGGTGAATCAATCACCACTGGGTGACTCGGCCTCACTTAATATCCAAGTGCATCGACTACTGTGACACAACCTCGGTAATAACAAACTGTACAGACCATCGTGACAGAACGTCAGTTGATAACAGAGTTCACACAGCCTCAGTAAATGTATCAGCACTGAGACCACTATCAGTCACTTATGTTCCACCTGCAGTTATGTTTGCTGCAGTGTCCAACTCTTGACACTGGTAACATACAAGCAGTCAAGTACAAATGCATGCATGTAAAATATTTGCCACATAAGTTAGTGAGTGAGTTAAGTTTTACGCTGCACTCAGCAATATTCCAGCTACATGGCGGTCTGTAAATAATCGAAGTCTGGACCAGACAATCCAGGGATCAACAGCATGACCATCGATCTACACAATTGGGATCACGATGACATGTGTCAACCAAGTCAGCGAGCCTGACCATCCCATCCCGATAAGTAAGCCTCTACGACAAGCATGGGTTACAGAAGATCAACTCTAACCCAGACCTTCACGGGTTTTGTCACATAAGATATAAGGTATAAGATTCACACCAACGACAACATCAATTGATTTCCTGAAAATACATCTAAAATGCATGAGGCTGCAAGGATGTTAAATTACCACCCTACAGAGCTGATCCTGATCTGGTGATTCAACAGAGGACTGAAGATACGCTAAACAGTTTTGACTTACAAATCAGAGCCCATTTTCATTACCCAGGACTTCATTCCAAATCTAGTTTCTTACACAAACCTGACTATAAAAATGCACTTAAAACATTGCTGTCTATCTTGCTATCAAACATGGATTGTTGCGTCATGTACAACATTCCCCTCTTATCTGTGAAATTTCAAAACTACACTAACATTACCTAAAGACATATAGTTCTAATGATAAGGCTGATGGGTGAGGTGAGGTGAAATTGGGTTTAACGTCGTGCTTGAGAATATTTCGCCCATATGACGACGTACATTCGTGTGTGTGTGTGTATGTACTAGCCCAGACTTCAGCTGGTTTTATAGTGCTAGCCCACTGAGATACCGTGCCGCAGTGAAGCCTGATTACCCCCGTCAGACACATTATACTGACTCCGAGCCGACCAGTCCTTGTTGTACCCATTAATGCCGAGTGGGACTAACAAGTACCATATTTTAACGTCTTTTGGTATGACACGGTCGGGGATCAAATCCACGACCTTCCGCTCTCCGGGCAGACGCTCCAACCACTACACCACGGAGGCGTCCAAGGCTGAAGGGTCTGTGAGTTTATTGTGTAGAGTTGAGTCATGGGTTTCAACTTCTTCATTTGTACAATGTGATGTTTAGATACAGATGCCAGTAGCAATATCAACCAAGCAGACAACACCTGTTCTGTAACATCGCACTGAAAGAATGAAGAAACTGAACTCCATAACTCAACTCCTACAAAGAGTCAGATAAAACCAATGTACCGGGGTATTTCTTTTTGAGTGAAACCTAATTGCAAGCCATAAACCACTTCACATAACTATGTATGATTTCATCTTGCTGATTGTAACATGTTGTGAACAACTGGAATTAGTAAAAACTACAATATTGAAATGACTGAAAGAATAGTGTGGGCGTGTGAGGTTATGCCATGTATTCCGAGCTGAATTTAGATATTCATCAGTATAGTTATCCAGCCATGAAAAAGCCTAGTAGTAATAGAGTGGGGGTTTTGCATCAGATGCGGCTTAGTCTTATTTTATTTAATAAGTTCCCCAGCCCCCCCTTAAAAAAAATAGCGAGAACCATCCTCCGATGTGCAAGTTCAAATTAAAAATAGCAAAAGCCCTCTGTGGCCACAACCCACAGAGGAAGAAATTGGTGTTTTGACCAGAGACCGCCTGGTCTTCAAGCGTGACGAATGGCGGACGCTTGAACCACTAGGCTACCCCACCGCCCCAGTCTTGAAAACAAGTATATTAGATTGACAGAGTTAGTCATGACATAATTTACTGATACACAGAACAAAATGAAATGTACACATTACTTGACCTATATTCACACGATAATCAATAATCTTTATCTGGGCAAGGCCCTTTTAATGTTAAGGCTGAACATTGACAAAGATGTGGATGACATTAGATATTGGACGAGCATCTGACAGATATTGACAGGAGTCAATTCATTCAATTCTATTGAATTATTATACCCACTAGCCGATGGCAGTGGTCTTATTAGATATAACCATGACCTTTTCACAGAAGTGACCACCCACATGTAATCAAATGGAGCCATGTCCTGGAACTCATATGTACCAATGTTCAGTAACACTGCCAATCACAAAGTTGTTGATTGAATCAACATGTGACATTATGACCCCAAAGACAGAAGAACTAAGCAAAGCACAGTTTCAATTTGTCACCAAATTTGTCCTGATGGGGCCGTGATTGTACTTTACTTCAATCGTTACCAAATCTATAGCTATTTAAGGAACGACTCAAGTGTAAACTGTATCAATCTGTGCAGTCCGTAGTGGTAAAAGATGGTCACATTTGTAGGAAGGGCTTAATTTTATACATCTAATGGGAGATGAACAATAACAAATGACCAGCTCAGCTAATCAGAATGCATGAATTTCA